GGAAGTGTCACCTCCTTGGACCTATTCGTCATGCATCTGCTGATGCATGATAAAGTGCCATTAGCTTTTCTGATGGCTTCGTCACATTGCCGACTCATGTTCATCTTGGAGTCCACTAGGACTCCAAGATCCCTTTCTGCTTCCGTGCCACCCAGCAGGTCATTCCCTAGGCTGTAGGTGTGCTGGATATTTTTCCTCCCTAGGTGCAGCACTTTGCATTTCTCCTTGTTGAACTGCATTCTGTTGTTTTCTGCCCACTTGTCCAACCTGTCCAGATCTGCTTGCAGCTGTTCCCTGCCCTCCGGCATGTCCACATCTCCCCATAGCTTTGTGTCATCTGCAAACTTGGACAGAGTACATTTCACTCCCTCGTCCAAGTCGCTGATGAAGACATTAAAGAGTATCGGTCCAAGGACCGAACCCTGCGGGACCCCACTGCCCACACCCTTCCAGGTCAAAGCCGACCCATCCACCACGACTCTCTGGGTGCGACCCTCCAGCCAGTTTGCCACCCACTGGACTGTGTAGTCATCCAAGTCACAGCCTCTTAACTTGTTCACCAGTATGGGGTGGGATACTGTATCGAAGGCCTTCCTGAAGTCTAAGTATATGAGTATTTTTAGTCTGGGACTTGAGGGGTGTGTCCAGACGAGTGCGCACATGCCTCTTGCGGCATCTGAAAGCAGTTGGAGATGCCACAAGAGGCATGCTGAGAACAAAAAAATGTTCCTCACACTACATATTTGCAGTGCAGGCTCAAGATTTGATATCTGGATTGTCAGGAATCAAATAAAAACACCCTGGAAAAAAGCAGCACAGGGCACAGTTTCTCATTGTGCCCTGAGGCAAGCTGGGTCTTGGACCTCCAAAGATGCTCTTGCATCTGGCTAGAGCATCTCTATAGTGCCCCTTGCTGCCCTAGCACACTGCCTTGCATGCAGGGCAAGCAAGGGCGGTGCAAGGCTGTGACCCGGGAGCTGTCCCTGGTAAGTAGGGACTGGGGGTGAGGGGGTTGGTTGGGGGGTGTGGGTCCCCCACAGGGCCCACAGCTCACCCATGCAGCAATAGCCATGGGGCGCTCAGGGTCCACTGTGGCCAGAGCCCCCAGTGGTGTGGCATGTCCGTGTTTGCCTCAGAGCCGGCACTGCCTATGCCTCTCAGTGTGGGTGCGGCCCAGCTCAGTGCAGAGCCACATGGGACTGTGTATCTTAAGGCAGTCCCAGGGCCACTCAGGCTGTCACCTAGGGCCCGGATGTGCTTGCAGGGACCACGCGTCGTGCTGAGCCAAGTCTTTCCTCCAAGGAAATGGCCCCACCTGACGGTGTGCAGGGCCTGTGGAGGCAGGACCCAACTCAGCCCATTGCACAGTCCCTGTGAGTGAGGCCGGGCCTCAGGTGACAGTCCGAGTGGCCCTGGGGCTGCCTGAAGCTGCATGGCCCCACGTGGGGCCATGCTGGGCCACACCTGCACTGAGAGACACAGGCAGTGCTGGCTGTGAGGTGATCAGGGATGCGCTGCACCACTGGGGGCTCTGGCCACAGTGGGCCCTGAGCACCCCATGGCCACTGCTGCTGTGGGCATGAGTTGTGGGACCTGTGGGGGGAGCTGTGGCCCTGTGTGGGGCAGGCTGTGGCCCAGTGCAGGCCACACAATGGCCCTGTGAGGGGCATATGTGGGCCCTGTGGGGGGCACAAGGGCCCTGTGGATAGGCAGGTGTCCCTTGCGGGGGGGGGGGTGCCCTGTGGGGGGAAGCTGTGGGACCTGTGGGGGGAGGCAGTTCGTGTGTTGTGTGGGGGGGCTGCACCCTGTGGGGAAGCAGACCCCCACAGTCCCACCACAATCTACCCACCATACCCACATCCCCAAGCCACTCCCACAAACCTCTCTCCCACATACCCAGCCACAGCCCCCAAGCTCCTGCACAAGACCCATACCGCCCCAAACCTCACCCCCACAAACCCTACACCCACCCACAAACTCACACAACCACCTCCAAATTGTTTTATGCTTGTAAATATATCAATAAAAAAATTGCCCAACTGGTCACTCTATGTATAGTGATGTTTCATTTTAACAGAGGAAGAACACTGTTTGGGGTATTTTAATGAGAGAATTTGGGTTTCTTATCAGAGTGTTTACAATTCATAAACAGGGAGCATCAGGATCTCTGCTGGTGAGACAAGTGGCGACACCTGTGCAGAGGAGCCTGTTCGGGGCCAACACTGGGGATCCAACTGGAAGGCAGATGAGGTGGCTGATCTCTTGGCCATTTGGGGCCAAGGGGACATGCTTTAACAGTTTGAAGTGGGCCACCACAAGGAGCACATCTTCTGGGTGATAGCTGCCCAGATGGCAGAGCGGTGGCACCCCATCCGGGTCTGGCAAGGGCACAGCTTTGGGTCTGCAGGTCCAAGGGGGCAGAAGCTGTCGCAGGTGTGCAGCAGGTCACACCCAGGCATCAGCCCCCTCTGCCAGACTGCTGCAGGGGGTAGAGGGGGAGGGGCACTCCAGGTTAGGGCTGCTTCAGCAGTCCAGCTGGCACAAGGGCTAGTGTCCCCAGATACCAAGTGGCCATGCCTTAGAAGGTCCTGAGGGCAGATAGCCCTGAGATGCTTGCCAGGGCAGGTTTTTATACTGCTGGGGCCAGCGCAGGTGCTGGCCCCAGGCTCTAGCTGCCACTCGCTGCAGATCTGGGAGGAGCTGTGCAGGGTTATTTTGCCCACAGTGGCACAACTTGCCCCACGCCAAAGTGCATGTTCAGGCACGTGCGCTGAGGCCAAAATCCGCAGCTCAGATTTGTGCCACTCCTACTTCAGCTGCTGCAAGCGCACATGCCTGTATGTGTGGATGCACCTAAGGAGCTCATTTTATTTATTTTCTCACTGAAGTTTATGGCATGATCTGATCAGTTTATAGGCATGCACATGGGAAATAGAAATTTGGTAACAGAGTGCTCTTCAATCTAGCAGACAAATGTATAATAGGAACCATGGCTGGAAACTATTTGAAAGTAGAGAAATTTGGACTAGAAATAAGGACGATCCTACCAAGGTTTGTAGTGGATTCTCTTTTGCTGAGTATTTCTAAATCAAGATTGGATTTAAATCATTTTTTTTCTGAGTTGTTCTAGTTAACCGTAAGTGTTAGATTTGAAACTGAAGTTAATAGAAGTAAGTCCTATAGGCTGTTGTATGTGGGGTGTCATTAAGTTACAATTGTCTTTGTCTTAAAACTGAAGAATCACCTTTGTCTTATTTTGAGTCCAGACTACTGGTGGGGACTGCAATAAATGGGGCTAGACTGGAACTGCTCACAGAATTGAACTAGTGTAAAATGTAGCTGGCTTCTGAGAGAGGACAATTACAAGTACAATGCCTACAGTAGAAGAACTGCAGAGCTTTCCAATAACTTTGTTATTGGTTGTAGGAATGCATGATGTTAGTTTTAACCTATTATGCTTACATAGTTTAAACTACTGGAGGGAAAATCATTTTTCATGGTCCATGCCACCACCATTCAAATCAGTAGCAATGCTCAAGCTGAAAAACAATGACTAGGGTAAGAAAGGTGTGGTAATGTTGGTATAGTGGTAATTGACTCTAGTTATATCTTTTTTTTTTTTAAGACATGCACCTAAAACTCCCTGCGTGCATCTACATGTACAATTAGCATGTAGCAATAAATTCTGGCACAGTTCATGCTAGAGTTTATTGCTTCCAGGTGCAGCATTTAAATGTGTGCTTGGGATGGCAGCATGTTGAGCCAGGGTGGAGAAGCCCTGACTGGCAGGGGGCTCCCAGGGTGCTCCACCCCAGCTCAGTGTGCTGTGGAGGGGCTGGCTGGGGCACAAAGGTGCTCCAGTGTGGGGCTAGCAGGCAGGAAGCCCCCACACTTTAGCACCCTCATGCACCAGCCAGTCCTGGTCACTGTCTACACATGCATTTTGGTGCATGTTACTAATCTGCTGTAGGATAGTACTTGTCCTGGACAGTACTATCCTACAGTGGAGTTAGTTAATTTACTGCGCCCTAATATGGGTACACTTGTAAACAATGACACTTTACTGTGAAGCTAATTAATCATCTCTGCAGTAAAGTGCACATGTAGATGCAACCCCTGATTACATATCTGCTATGATTCTGACTGCTGGAGGTCCACAGTTATACTGAGATTCTTGAACTGTCATATGCAGGGAAGGGCTTCTTGCACTGTTCCTCTTCCTAATGCATCTTTGCATCATGCCTGAAATAGTAATACCTATAGCACTAAGGCTTAACTCCCTTCCTGAGGGACATGATGACATCAACAGGAAGTTGTTAGGGGTGAGTGGGTGGGTGGGTGTGTGTGTGTGTGTTAGCAGTTGCAATAAAGCCCTTTTGAGAGCAAAAAGTCTCCCTGCCTTTTCCTGAGTTATGAGATTACACATTATCCTACTTGTCACTTGCTAAATTTATACAGTTGAACAAGGATCATTTGCATCTGAGTGATTCCAAACCCACTTCATTTGCAGCAGGTTGCTGAATTACAAATGAACTGCTCAGCTGTTTGCTACAGCTTTTACTTCAAAGGAGGCTGCTTCCTTAATCAGCTGGAGCTCATCAGGAGTCTCATACAGCTGATCCGAGAAGTGGCACCCTTTGAAATAAAAGCTACAGTAAATATTTGAAGCAGCTCAGTGGTCCTGCACAGCAGTTTGCTGTAGCTCTGAATATCCCCAGATACTCTGAAAACCCTTATCTTCTTCACAGGGTGCTGGGGGAAGGCTCTGTTAGGAACTTAATCCTGCATACTATCTGGGCTTGACTGTATTAGAGTTCAGTCATTAACATTCACTAGCATTAGGCTAAATCAAACTCCCTGGAGATATCCCTCTAAAGCTGTTATTGAAATATAGTCTGTGACAAGAACTAAAATATATTATTACCATAATCCAGGGATGCCCAACTTCTGGGAAGTTGATGACCACATGCAACATGGAATGCAAACTGGGGGAGCCAGATGCTACTTGCCATGCAGGTGCTATTCCCCACAACACTTATCTCTGCTGCACAGGAAGCCTGTCTCTCCACCACCAAATATCAAGCTGCATCCTGCTCCTGTTCTCGCCCTTCTCCTGGCCAGGTATGCTATGTAGGCAGCTTTGCCCTGTGCCATCCATGCAGCACAGGCAGCCTAGCTTCCCCCACCCTCTAGCCATATGCATAGTAAGAGCAGCCCAACCTGCTCCCCAGCTGCATCTGCAACATGGACACTATATCCCCTTCCTAGGCCTCCAGGAGTGGATGCAGGAAGCAGAATCAAGTAATGGAGGAGGAGTTTGGATCCCTTGATTAATGCTGCATTAAAGGCAAAGTGGGGACCAGTGGCTGGGTGGCAGAGCTGGTCTTAGGGATGGGCAGCATAAGCAACTGCCCTGGGTGCTGTAGTTGGGGGCATCACACATACATGCTCACTGTGCACTGCTCTTCCCTGCTGCTCATGCAGTGGGGTGGGTACTTCAGTGGCAGCTAATCCTGGGGGCTGGGCAATGGAATAAAATGCCCCCAGACAGTGGTGGTGGCAGCAAGCACTGCCAGAGAGGAGAGCACCAAAGGCTGGGCCAAGGGCAAGGTGGCAGTGCCCAGTGAAAAGGCAGCATGATTGGGCAGCTCCAGCTTGTGTGGCAAGGGCTTCACAATCACTGACCTACTGGAAGTCAAGCTGCAGCTCCCCTGCCCCTTTCTGGCCACCACCACCACTGCCAAGGGTGAGAGCGTGGGAAGCCAGGTGGTGCTGGGTGGTGGCAACTGGGTTTTGGCTGTGCTGTGTGGGCATCCCTGCCTGCTGCCTGCCCATCTGCCCTTCATGTCACCCTGCACCGAGCCCCCACCGGCCCCACTGCCTGGCACCAGACCAGAATCTTGGGTGAGTTGACATGCATTGCCCCATGATAGGTCTTCTGCAGGGGTCTTCTGCCACTGCTGGGGCATATGTGCCCCACACACATGCAACCCCCTTACAGATATACCTGAAATCCCCTCTCACACATACTTCCCCACCCCCAAAGACTCCCCCTGCTCCCACAGGCACAGTGCTAATCATGAATGGCGCATGCCCCCGGAGACTGGGGGGGGCCACGGTGACCACCCACAGGTGGCAGTGGTGTTGGCAGCGTGCGGGGGTGGCGAGTGGCTGGTGGCGAGCAGGGACTGCCCACAGTTGCCATCTGTGCTGGCGGAGGCAGCAAGCAGGGACTGCCCGAAGTCACTGTCTGCACTGTTGGTGGTGGTGAGCAGGGACTGCCCGCAATTGCTTTCCACACTGTTGGCAGTGGTGAATGGGGACTGCCCACAATTGCTGTCGGTGGTGGTGAATGGGCACTGCCCGCAGCTGCTGTTGGTGGTGGTGAGTGGGGACCGCCCAAAGCTGCTGGTGGCCGGGCGGGGGGAGGGAGCAGCAACCGCCCATAGAAGCCAGCGGCAGCTTTGGCGGTGACCAATTTTAGGGGGTGCACATGCCCCCCTCCACATGTCACCTATGGTGCCGGTGACTTGTGGGGGAGAGGCACCGGAGGGATGTGCCAAAATGCAAGTTTACCCAGCGCACTATTTTCCCTAAGGCTGGCTTTGCTGGACACAAATCCCATGTTAGGGGGCTGCATGTCAGCCCGTGGGAGCTGCCAATTGGACAGTCCTGACATCATCTATTTTACACCTATCACATATGTTCGCTATGGAAAGTCACTAGGATGAAAAGCAGCAGAAAACTATCATGTAGAATGCTGTAAGAAATCTTGTACTCTGTGTGTTGTCCAGTATCTCCAGCATAGCATTGGATTTAGACCAATATTTCAGATATGATTTTTCTCCATAAGTAATGTTTCCTGTTTCATTCTTGCAGGCAAGAGCTCTAGTCATGAACTAGGACTCTATTGTTCTGGGCACCATACAAATGTGGGGGGAGAGAAACACAATTCCTTCCAGAACTGACTGAGAATTTACTGAAAATTCAGTTCATTGAGATCAAAATGTATCTTTTGAAAACTGCAATCTCTGACACATTTTGCTGAATCAAAGGCAAGGTAACCTTATGCTGATGTAGTGTAGGGTTTGGCACATTCAAACTTAAAAAAGGAGTGCGATCAAAGGATCCAGCCTCCTTATTTCTACAGGGTGCTGAAAGCTCACCCTGAGTGTACATCATGTACTTGGCTGGCTTTTGTAATCTTTGAAATCAGATGGCAGCAATTATCCTGTGCCTGAAATGACCTTTTGGAAATTACTTTAAGAAAGCCTTAATAAATGGACAGTTACCCTGGCTTTGGTGTCAAACAAAACAGGTCCAACTTTCTTCTCTGTAAGTAATTAATTGGCCCACTATAGGCTGAAGGGAAACTTTTACTGGGTTAGTCTAGATAGAATAAGCACAATAGGAAAACTGTATATTGGAAAAGATTTCAGGAATTCAGCTAGTCAAATCCCTCTCACACTCAGGTGGAATCAAGTATAACTAGATTATCCGAGGTAGGTGTTTGTCTAACTTGGTCTTAAAAGCCTCTCTAGCAAGCCTGTTCCAGTGTTTTATTATCTTGGCAGCTAGAAAGTTTTCTCAAACATCCAAACTAAATCTTCCTTGCTGCAGATCCATCTGTCTTCTTGTCTTCTGCCCAGTGACCATGGAAAACAGTTGATTGCTTGCTTGCCTTAACTTATTTTAACTTATTCATCGGAAACCTGTTATTGTGTATCCCTTCCATCCCATGTCTTGTTTTTTCTAGACAACACAGAACTACTTCTTTCAGCCTTTTCTCCAAAGTTGTGATTTCAGTATCTTTTGTTGACCTTTTCTATTCTGTCTCTAATTTGCTTTTTCTAAAGCAAATTATTTCCCACATCTAATATCTTCAAAATAGAATGTGGTTCATTCTTTTCCTTGTTTCCAAGAAAGGAATTCACCTTTGCTACTAAACTCTGTATAAACTGCAAACAGCTGTTCCTAGGAACTAATGTCAGTGGGCATGTCTACATGTGTAAATGAGGCTGAATAAACTCTGGTGCAGTTTGCATACAGTTTATTGTTCCCAGGCACCACGTTTGCACATGTGCCTGGTACTGCAGCACGTTTGAGCTGGGGTGGATCAGCCCTTGCTGCCAGGGAGACTCAGGGGTCCACCTGCCAGTTTGGGGCTGCTCTGCCCCAGCTCCATGTGCTGTGGAGGGGCTGGCTGGGGCACAAGTGTGCTTTAGTGCAGGGCTAGCACTTAGCTTTAGAAAATGCTGTTGTTCAATGTGTACTTTTTGAAATGTATGTTGGTTCAAATGACAGCGTGCTGTGTTTTATTTACAAAATAATTATTCTGATCTCATATGATATATTGGACTGCCATTTATTAATACTGGATTACCTTTATATTCTATGGCAATTGCTTCTAAGTTATTGTCTTGTTCTCTATACCATTTAGCTTAATGAAACAGTATCACCCTTATTAGGATGCACCTAGGAAAGTGTCAATGTGGCTAGGGCTTTCAAAATGGTTGAGGCAAATTAATACTGTCAAACCCCAGAGAGAGATTATAAATTCCCCTTTATGCTGTCTTTATGCCTTTCAAGGACAATTTACCCCCTGCAGATTCAACTGATGTTTTAAGTGCCTTGCTTTTTCATTTTGCATCACACTAATACTCTATTTCAGTTTAGATGTTTTCCTTTGTTTGATGTTTCTTTAAACCCAAATTAAAGAATAGGACCTCAACTGCTAAAATATTTATATAAGTATGTATGTATATACAATTTAATTAATGTGAATTATGCCTTATGTTATATTAAAAATAGGTAATTGAATGATGTATTTTCTGTCTAGAAGGCAAGATTAAATTCTTTTCCTTACAAGTTCAGCTTCATAGCAAAGAATGTTTGAAGAAGTGGGTGGCTACTGGAAGTGAATATTCATTTGATTCAAACTTTTATTCATTTCAAATTCAACATATAAGACCAAAAAAACCCCAACCACCTAGCTGAGGTTCAGGGTAACTTTGAAAACTATTAAAATGAAGTCATACACAAAGGATATGAACAGCAGTAGGAAAAGACCCACCTTTCTTGATACCAAAGGAGATGATCTAATTTCTGCACCTCAGCTCATACAACACTAATGTCTTCTTAAAAAAAAAAAAAAAAAAAAAATCATACCCCATAAAAAACTCAGCTGTCTTCATACCTACCCAAACAGGTAGGCTTTACAGCATGGTCTAAAGCTCAATAATTCCTCTCTGGATTCCATAGTAGCCTCACTGGGTGCGTCCAGATGTGCATGGACGTTTGGTTCCCTGGGGACAAGTAGTGGTGGTGCACTTTGTGCCAACACTTCTTGTCCCGGGGGAACACCTGTGCCATGCGTGTTTTGGCATGTGGCAAGTTGATCTGGGTGGCACAGGGGAGGCTGTGCTGGCCCCAGCAGCCTTACCTGGGGTCCTGGGAGCCTCCTGGAGCTGCAGCCACAGCGATCCTGCTGGGTGGAGCCTGGCCAGCAGCAGCAGCACAGCTCTGAGCAGCTTGGCTCGACTTCTTAGCAGTACATGCTGCCCAAATGGGCACTGCTTCAGGGTTTTTTTCACAGGTTTTTTTATGACCCCTGCATATGCATGGAAAAAAAAAATGGAGCAGCGCACACTTGGGTAGTGTGCCCTTGCAGCAGAAAGAACTCCAGATTGTGCAGTATAGTCCATAGCACTGCAAACATAGATGTAAATTGTGCCAGTGGATAAACATATATTGTGAAATATGACTAGAAACAGATTGAGGTAAAACATATCTTTCAAATATAAAATAAATATATATATATAATAGGATGAACCATATCTAGTTTGTAACCATCACAAATTGTATTACGGTATAGAAGTATTGTATCACATATTTTAACCATGCAGGTTTTTTACTCATTTTATATTTGAAAGATATGTTTTACCTCAATCTGTTTCTAGTCATATTTCACTGTGTGTGTGTGTGTGTGTGTGTGTGTGTGTGTGTGTGT